GGTTCAAGGCCAGGCTGGATGAGGCTTTGAGCAACCTGGGCTAGTGGGAGGTGTCCCTGCCCATGGCAGGGGGTGGGACTAGATAATCTTTAAGGTCCCTTCCAACCCAAACCCTTCTGTGATTCTGTGAAAGGAGTTCACAGGTTATACAACATGGGCACTGTCATCCCGGTGGCCAGTGACGCTGGGAGGGGTGTGTCTCACCCACTCTCGCTGTTTCACTTTTCCCTTTTATTTTATTTTCCGAGTCACTTGTACTCTTGCGCACTGATGACAGCAGGTTTTCCGCTCCTCAGCCCCGCAGAGACGATCCAGCCGGCAAAGCTCAAGCTGTGCCTCGCACTCCGGCTGCGCGCGGCGGAAAAAAAACATGCTGGCTGCTGATAGCGGGCGAAAAGGCAGCCTTGGGCGGTCCCTCCACCCCCAGTGCTGTAATCCAGCCTTCAAAACTCCTCTCTGCATGCGTTGGGGACTTTTTATGTGGGTGGGGGCTGCCATTGAGCAATTGAGGAGCCCACGGGATGTCTGTTTTGTGTTTTTTTTTTTTTTAAATACCTGCTTCCTTTTTGCAACTGAATTTTTGAAAGGCTCCAAGCTGGGGGAGGCGGAGGGGAGGGCAGAACAGACAGAAACTTTGCGAGGGGGTTGGCGTCGTGGCTGAAAGCCCCCGAGAGCTGGGCTGTGCAGCTGCTTCACCACCTGCCCCGTGCCAGGGTCTCTGCCGTGGTCCCGTCCCCAGCTCCGTGATGCTCTTGTGCAAGCTTGGCTCCAAAGGGATATCTTGGATGTAAGAAGAGGAATGGTGTGTGCTCAATTAAGCAATTAGGTGCTTTCCAGCTCTGAGCTTCATTATCAACCTTGGCTTGCTTCTGAGAAGCAATCCAGAGTGACCCCTGACCGGGGGGACCTGCTTAGTCAACTGCACCAGACAAGCATCCTTAATTGCTCTGCTGCAATGGTTATCTTCATTACGGCTGTGTTCTTCCTGCAAGAAGCAGGGAGCTTCCATCACTGAGGCTCTTATCTGTGAAAACAATTCCTGAACTTTTGAACTATGTGCACTGTGTCCTCTACCCCAACGGTTTATGACCGTTACCTGCGTGACATGGGATGTGACAACCTTGTGTGTCCTCGGCTTGCGTCCAGTGTCGCTCTCTCCTGCTGTACCACCTTGTTGATACCTTTTCCCCACATCACCTCTACAATTGCCCGCTGGTGCTGCCTCCAAGCCCTCCGGCGCTCCCGTTTCTGCACCCTGGCAAACTCCCCATCATGGGGCAGGCGTGTGCAGGTGGTTTTCATAGAATCACAGAAGGGTTTGGGGTGGAAGGGACCTTAAAGCCCATCCAGTGCCACCCCCTATCATGGGCAGGGACCCCTCCCACCAGCCCAGGTTGCCCAAAGCCTCATCCAGCCTGGCCTTGAACCCCTCCAGGGATGGGGCATCCACAGCTTCTCTGGGCACCCTGGGCCACTGCCTCACCCCCCGCACAGGGAAACATTTCTTCCTCACATCTCATCTCAATCTCCCCTCTTTCAGCTTTTGTACGCAGGGAGCTTATGAACTTCCCACCTGAAGGGTTTTGGGGTGTTTGCCCGAGCTGTAAAGGCAACATCCCCGTGCACACCCTGAGTGGGGGTGGTTTGCAGGTGGGAGGGTCTGGGGGGGCTGCAGTGCCTGTGGTGGGAGCGAGCCCCCGCAGAGGCAGCGCCTTTGGCATGTGCTCGGTCGGTGCCACGCTGCCAGCTGACGTCAAGTCCTTCATTGATGCCACATGCTGGGCATTGCCTCCTGCATGGATGGGCTTCCAGAAAAATTAATCCCCCCCAGGGTGGGATTTTGCACAGGGAAGGGTTGTTATTGCCTGGAAGTGTCTCTCTTTTATGCTCAACACTGTTTAATTTTGTGAGCTAGTGCCATGAACAAGCATGTTGTAAACACCATCGATCTGAGAACCACGTGGCCTTTTGTGCAGAATTGACCAAGTTTGATGATGGGAACTGAGCACAGCCTGAAGGAGCCAGTGTCCCCTCCAAGCCGCGCTGCCAGCAATCTCCGTTGGCTGGCCAGGAAAAGCCCCAGGCAGCCAACAGCCCCTCGTGCCCCCACCGGCACAGCTGCCGGGCATCCAGTGAGGGAACCGGGCAGCCGAGGTGCGAGGAGGGGGTAGAAGCTGCTACAGCCCCCAGCTGACCTAAATAACACGCACACCAGTCCTGGCAGAAAAGCAAAGTCATTATTGGCAAAAGAAGCTGTGAAGATGATGACGGGGCCAACAATTGCCGGTGGTATTGGCAGGATGATTTTAGTGTTGTTGGGGTTGTTTGTTTTGTGTTTTTTTTTTTTTTTTCAAATGAACAAGATCTTTTGTTGCCATGTGCTGGTGGCAGCTGGGCACCGCCGGATGGTTTTACACCCGTTGCCTCCTTTTACCGAGAGGAACAAAACCTCAGGTATGGGGGACGGACCGACATCCCGCACGGCGAGCGCGGCACCTCGCAGCGGCGGCTGCCGCCACCCCAACCCCCGCCGC